TCCAGGGACTAATGTAGAAATGATAAAACCTAGCTTAGTACAAAGAACACTAAACTAGGTATTAAGGACATCAGAGCTCTATGTTGTTCAGTAACCTTAGAAGAACTCATCTAAGCTCTTTCTATTCTTTTAGTCACTTAGGAACTATTTTGGACCACCTGCTCAATCATGGACATACTAAAAAAATTTTTCCCTTGCTTTCCATTTCCACTTATTATTGTTTCTAATCACTGTTTTAATATCCACCTTATCATCATTCTTTTCCACTTCGTAGTTTTCTTTTCTTTTTTTTTTTTTTCGATACAGAGTCTTGCTCTGTTGCCCCTGCTAGAATGTAGTGGCATCGTCACAGCTAACAGCACTCTCAAATTCCTGGGCTCAAGCGATCCTCCTGCCTCAGCCTCCCAATTAGCTGGAACTACAGACCTGAGCCAGCAAGCTGGGCTAATTTTTTCTATTATTACTAAAGATGGGGTCTTGGTCTTGCTCAGCCTGGTCTCAAACTCCTGGCCTCAAGCAGTCCTCCCACCTCGGCCTCCCAGAGTGCTAAGATTACAGGTGTGAGCCACCACACCCAGCCCACTTCATAGTTTTCTTTTTAAAATTTAGATCTGATTGTGCCATTCTTCTAAACAAACAACTCTGATAAATCCCCATCCTATCCATAATGTTCAATTATGTATATGTGTTTATGTTTTTACCATATGATCTCTTCAGATTACTCGTTTTCACCTCTTCCATTGCACTGCATTATAGTGCTGTGCACATAATCAGTATGCAGCAAGTATTTGCTGAGTTGGATTTATTTGTTTATTTTCTCCCCCAATCCCCACCCCAGAGTTGGACCTTATCTTTGGAGTTATACGCTTTAAATTGTAATTTTTTAATTTGATTCACAAATGGATTCTGTCATTCATGTGTAAGGATATAAATCTTATAGCTCTTCTGTCTACGTAGCCATTCAGCTTTATCTATTTAACCTCGGGTGTGGCCATGTGCATAATCTTTCTCAGTGTCAGCAAAAATCAGTGCTACGTTAATGTTAAGCAAAATACATGTGGGAATAAAAACAACAACAAAAAAACCCCAACCTCAACACCAGTATTCTGTATAGGAGAGAGAATTAGTCACTCTTGATTATGTGGTTTTGTGGTACATTTTTTGACAATTCTGCTGGCTCAGCTTTTTTTCACCTCATAGATTTAACTGATTTGATTTAGAATATACGTATATATGATATGTGGGGCTTAATAGAGTTTTTAAGTTTAATTTTCCAATTTTTCTATGTATATATAACATTTCTTAACAGATTTTTAAACAAATATTTTTATTTGTAGTATAAAATAACAAAGACATTAAAACATAAAGTGGATTTTTATAAAGCATCTATGCTTCTGAAAGGAAGGAAATATTGGTGGTGTTAAGATGAGTTAGGAGACTGGTAAGGTCATTCAGGCAAGTGATATTAGGGCTCAAACTAAGGTGGTAGGGAAAGAAATGAATAGTCAGCTTCTACATAAATTATACAGCTGGAATTGACAGGAATTGGCACTTGGCAAGATGCCAGGAATTAGAGACACATGTTGAGGCAAATTAGGCATAGTTGGCTATTTCTAGATAATTGTTTAATGCCGTTTTAGACATTGCCCAAGACTTCCCATCTCTGTTACTTTGTTCATACTATCTCATTTTTCCACCATGCTCAACTTCCCAGTCTCAATCTTATCTATCCTTTAAGGTCTAATCTATATCTTGTCTCTTTAGAAGTTCCTGTCAGGTGCTTGCTAAGTGGGAGAAATGTTGAACTATTAAAATACTAGAGTCTATATCTCATGTTTGATAGGAGATTATTACTACCTAATACTATTTGCCTTTCTTGTGCATCTTTCACTCTAACTAGATAGTGTCTTATACATAATGAATGAATGATTTTGACTTGAGGTTTTGTTTTTTTTTTAATTTGTCTTCGATAGATTAAACGTAATCCAATATCAAGTTTAGTAAACTGCTTTCTGTATATGTTATTCCAGGTTAAAATTAAAAAGGCTTGTATTTACCTACTGTTTCTTAGAAAACTGCTATTTTTGTAGTCTTTAAATTTAGATTTACAGCAGTCATGTTTTAGGGGAAAATGATCCCAGCACGAAAGGCTTACATTATAAGACAGCTCAACACATTGGCTTCTGCAACTTCAGTTCTCATCACTGTGTGATTCTGTTCCAGTTTCTTTTTGTAGTTTACTGGTAAGTCCTTGGATTGTGAAACACAAAGAACTGATTCTTCTGTTCTTTGAAGTACTAACAACTAAGTGGTGAAACTGTTTGCATAATGTTCCAGGATTCATTGAAGAAGTTTGTACCACAGCCACAGGAGTGGTTACAGTTTATAAATCAAGGTCCTAGAAAGTAGCACTTGCATAAGGTTTTCCATAACCACCCAGATTAGACAATTCAAAGACACTTTTTACACAGAATTCTGCAGTTCGTGTTTATATGTGACGAGCATCTCAATTCTCTTTTAAATGGTCTATCACTTTCTTTTTGAATGAAGAACTTAGCTAAACTTCCATGACTATTTCTATGACTCTTAAAATAGTTAAGACCTATTTAAAGTATTTATATATAATTACATGTATAATTTTCTTTAGCTTTGTTTTCCCTTGAAGTTTTTTCTTTGAATAATACTAATATTTCAAAATTTGATCAGAGATGTGAATATTCTTTTTCAGAATATAAATAATTGAATTTATCAGAATTAAATCATAAGTGTAGTTGCAAAAAGTCAGTAATATTTTTGAGCTCATTGCAATAAGAAAAGCAGTTGGATTATAGCAGGACAAAGCATTTTAGAACATCTTATCATTGTTATAAACATTATCATTATTACTTCATCAAATTTCTAACATTTACTGAATCTTTGCTATGTGTAAGGCACCACTAGGTACTCTGCATACTTTGTGGCATTTATTTCCTAAAAACCACAGTTTTATGTTTATAGTTATTATACCCATTTTGCAGAAGGGTTCCTCCTGAAGGTCAGGAAGGTTACTTGACTTGTGCATGGTCACCCAGCTAGTAAGAACCAATGCCACGACTTCAGAGCCTTTGCCTGCTATATGAAGTATGAATGAGACTATACAATCTGTGAGGGCCAGAGCTGTGTTTTGTGTAACACTTTAAACCTGTGCCTAGCATAATACCTGGCACATAGTATATGATCTATAATAAATATTTGTTGGGTACATTTGCCTCTTATAGAAAAATTATATTAAATAATATGAATAACAACCCCTCAGCAGGGCCAGGGCCATTCCTAACAGCTTGGCACAGAGTGAATGTATTCCAGGAATCCCACAGTGGAGTTTGAAATACATTTTTCACAGAGAAACCTTGTTACATGTGATGCTGAATGTGTGGAGTTACATGGGTCTTTGTACACTGACCTGTGAATTTGATTGCTGCTGAATAGCATGGCTTCTAGGAGAGAACACATTTTTAGGCAGCTTTCAAATGGCCTCTGGGAATAAAGCCCATTGGCAGGTAAGTTGGAGGATGTGGCCTATGAGGAACATGATGAATCTTCCCTTTAGAACCCAAGGTCGCCATTATGAGTATCGATTATAGTTTTTAGGGCCTCAGTATATGCAAACCGAGAAACGTTGAGCTTCTCTAGGGAAGTAGAGGTGAAGGACCCTGAATACCCCACCTTCTCTGCTTCCTTCCTCTTGCCTTCCCCTCACCTCTTGCAGCAGCCTCTGAAACTGGTTTGAGAAGGCTTAGGCTACCGGAAGCAGAGGATGATGAATCCTGGCTCTAGTTTCTTCATTTTCAAATGAAGAACCCAAGATTTTACAAAAGTTAGATGACTTCCTGAAGTCACACAGCTATTTTAGGCACACAGTTAATTTGTGGCGGAGGACTAGATGTGGTTTTGAGTCTAGTGCTTTCCAGCTCTGTTATAAATTCTTTCAAGCACTGTTTAAATTGAAAAATTAAATCTTTACATAACTTTATTATGATGTTTTATATTAAGTCTTTGAAAATAAATGTCCTTTGCACAGTGCCTACAGAAGAGCTAATATTAGCATATTACTTAACAGTTTGAATAATTTTTTACATGCTATTTGATCCTCACAACCCTAGGGGTAGGACAGACAGTATTTTATCACTATTCCTCTTTTAGAGAGAAAGAGTAATGTCACACAACTGACAAGTTTCAAAGCCAGAAATCAAAACTAGATTTGCTCAGCATAAGATTTTGGAGTTAGACTTACTTAAGTGAACTGGTTCAGCCAGCCTGGATCAGAGAAGTAAGCTTCTTGGTTGTAGATGGTGAAGTGGAGTGGGCAGGGGAGAAAGGAGGAGGTTTGGGAAAAAGCCCTCATCGTTGAACTCCAGTGAGGGAACAAATAGAATCTTGCTAAATTAAGAGAGTATATGTGTGGAGCAATGGCTGGAATAAATATACACTTCTTGCATTTTATTGAGGTGGTGTGATGGAAAGGAGCATTCTCTCAGACCTAGGTTTGAGTATTTTTTTTTTATTAATTAGTTGTATTAATATAACTTTAGTTGATCTTTCTAAGCCTACGGTGGTCTAATCTGTAAAATGAGAATAATATTAACCTTGTGAAACCTACTCTGCCTGCTCAGAAGTCTTATTCTTTTCCTTTTTCTTTTCTTTTTTGCTTACTTCTGGGTTCTTTGTATTTTGGTATTTTTAGCAGCTACATAGCTAAATTATGAATTTGTTACATATGTTCCTATACAGAATGCAGAAATCCTAGAAGCTTACTACTGAAAGGGACATCAGAAAGACACCAACTACCGTAAACTAAAGATAACTTTTGTCACTTTTTTTGTGTGTCAGGTTGGATCCCCAATTCATCTCAAATCTTGTTCTCACTTTTTGGTTGCAAAGGATTAAATTCTCTGCTTTTCTGTGAGATCATAGTTAGTGAATTGTCCCATCATTAATTAATGGTTTTCTTTTTTTCCTAGTTGTATAAGTTTGGAGAGACAGTTTCAATTGTTTTTTGGACAGACACTTGGAGACCTGAAAGCTTCTTTGACAAAGTGAAGAAGAACAGACAAAATGACATGCACACATTGTGCTTACTAGGTAAGAGTTTTGGAGTTTTCTTAAAGTCATAATGTAGAATCATCATATTGTTCTCATTTTGATTTTGTGTTAGGTGAAAACTGTTCTGTTGTAACTAGCTAGAGGTAGGAAGGGACGCTGTCTAGCCATTCTGTGCTTGCCACAATCTTCGCCATATTCTCAGGGAGACATACATCTTCTGCTTCAAATACCACGTGGCTGTTCCTGCATACGTGCCACACTTCATGCTGCTCCTCCTTGTGCCCTAATGTATCCTCTTCAGTATCCCGTGTCTTACCCATATGTCCATCGAGGCCCTCTTCTTGTCACTTTACTGTAATTCAGCAGACTTGTATTGAACATTTATTCTTACCAAGCACCATCCTGCTTCTTCCTAGGGGTATTCTTTGAATACTGCAGTATTGATGCTATCAGAATCATGGAATGATAGACCTGAAAGAGACTCTGGAGACCATCTTATTCAAGTCTTTTTTACAGGTGAAGTTGAGGCCCAGCATATTGAATGTCACCCAACTGATTGGTGGCAGAACTGGTAGAATCAGATAGCCTGTTGTTCACAGCTGTTTTCACTGTACCATCCCATCCAAATTCTATTTTCTATTTCGTGTGGAAAGAGCTGAGAGCACTGTCTTTGAATACCAAGATAATGGTACTGAGCTTCAGAAGGGCATGGGGTTTGCTTTCTAGCCGATGCACTGAAATTGCACCGATTCACATTCACTGGTCAGCTCTATTCTAGTAGCATACATTGTAGAAAACAATACTGGTAGCAAAGCTTTTATCTGTGATTGATGAACAGAACACAGCTAACTGACATCTTTGACAACTTTGAAATGATACTTATATGTGGAGTCAGGAGACAAAATCCCAGCACTACTACTTACTAGCTAGAGAATATTGTGAACATTCCTTAACCTTTGCCTTCATATTCTTCAAATAGGAATAATCCCTCCTGCCTCATGGAGTTGTTTAGAGCAGTACTTGTCAATCTGTTTGTGGTAAAGGACTAGAGTTGGGAGTTTTTTTTTAATACGTTTGTTTTTTAATTTTTAATCTTTTGTGTCAGTTTCAAATTACTATAAATGTTTGTATTTATATTCTCACTCCTGTAGTTACTTCATCATTTACTGGTAACAAAAAGTTCACATACTAGCATTGTTCCTTGGATCATACTTTGAATTGTACCGTCTTAGTGATACTGTATGAAGTCACCCAGCAAAATGTCTACCACATAGCACAGGATCAGGGCAGAGAATGAACCCATGATTTTGGCCTCTTATAGTAAGTACAGATATTCAGAACATTATAAAAGATTTCTGTTTGCCAAAAACTTTTATATTATTTGCATAATATAGCCAATTCTCCATTAAATTGTTATTTAATAATATGTAATTTTAAGCACCCCAATCAGTATGAAACCCAGTCAGTATGTCTTACTAGAAAAGATAACTCAGTTTTACTAATGGTGGGTTTCTTTTTTTTTTTTTTAGAGACAGAGTCTTGCTCTGTTGCCCGGGCTAGAGTGCCGTGGCATCAGCCTAGCTCACAGCAACCTCAAACTCCTGGGCTCAAGCGATCCTCCTGCCTCAGCCTCCCAAGTAGCTGGGACTACAGGCATGCACCACCATGCCCGGCTAATTTTCTCTATATATTTTTAGTTGTCCAGGTAATTTCTTTCTATTTTTAGTAGAGACGGGGTCTCGCTCTTGCTCAGGCTGGTCTCGAACTCCTGACCTCAAGCAATCTTCCCGCCTCGGCCTCCCAGAGTGCTAGGATTACAGGCATGAGCCACCGTGCCCGGCCATGGTAGGTTTCCTATGGGGTAGAAATTGGAAATTAATATCTAGAGCAGGAGTTAGCAAGCTAGTGCCCAGGGATCACATCTGGCCTGCTGCTTGTTTTGTAAATAAGGTTTATTGGAACATGGCCATACACATTGACTTACGTGTATTGTCTGTGGCTACTTTTGTGCTACAGCAGCAGAGATGAGTAGTTGTGACAGAGACCTTATGGCCCTCAGAACCTAAAATATTTACTACCTGGCCTTTAACAGAAGTTTGCTGACTCCTGGTGTAGAGTGAAATTTTATCTAATGTCATGTGCTACGCCTTGAATCCCCTCAGTGACTCTTTTCCATTACCATATATTATTTTGTCATAGTCTTAACCCCCATCTGAAGTATCTTACTAACTTGGTAGACTTCTTCCCTGCTTCATAAGAGCAAGGCCTTTGTCTTGCTCATTGCTCTTTTCCTAATGTCCAGAAGTCTGGCACACTGTAGCTGTTCGATAAATATTTATGGAAGTCAGTTGGTTAAAATTTTGCTTAGTTTATTTTCTCAGACTTGGTCTTATTACCCATTGTCACAGAAAATTTTTAACTCTTGCTAGTTCATTCAATTTCAGCCAGAATACAATTTTTTTATTCTGTTCACATTGACATCTAATTAATTCTAGGTCTAGATCAGGCCATAAATGCTTCTCAAATACATTTACTTTTGGCTTATGCCTATATTTCACAATTAACCGATGATGGGTTTTCTTATTTTAGTATATTGCCAGTGTGATTTAGTGCTTCATTAATAATTAATTAGCTTCATAATTTTGCCCTTGGATTTTTTATGTGAAAAGAGGCTGATCTTACTTTTTTGTAGTCCTTACTAAAAGATCATTATAAGGCACTTGTGAATCAGTATGGGCTATGCTGTCAGATATATTCATCTTGTTATCCCAAACTTGGATCCAATTAGGGGCAGCAATTGGTAGAAGGTCAAAGTAGAATGATGAGGGAAGGACAGCTATTAAAAGGACTGTTGTTTGGATACAAAAGTGTATGTGTAGGCTGGGCACGGTGGCTCACGCCTGTAATCCTAGCACTCTGGGAGACTGAGGCAGGAGGATCACTTGAGGTCAGCAGTTTGAAACCAGCCTGAGCAAGACCGAGATCCTGTCTCTACTAAAACTAGAAAAAATTAGCCCAGCATGGTAGCCTGTGCCTGTAGTCCCAGCTACTGGGGAAGCTGAGGCAGGAGGATCACTTGAGCCCAGGAGTTTGAGGTTGCAGTGAGCTATGAAGATGCCACTGCACTCTAGCCAGGGTGACAGAATGAGACTCTATCCCCACCCCCCCACCAAAAAAAAAAGTGCTTGTGTATGTTTTACAACAGGACTAAGAGTTTTTTAAAACATAACAGGGAGCGAAGAGTCTGAGAGGCAAGCTACCTGAAAACCTCCCCATATATCCATTAAAAATGGGGGGAAGGAGAGCAAGCAGCATTTATCTTTGGGAAAGCTTTGGAAAAGCAGGTAGAAAATCAGTTTACAGGTATTTATTGAGGAATTAGTCTATACCCAGTGTGGCTCTTTTGGAATACTATGGAAGTATTAGACTCAGGTCCTGCCCTCAGAATTTTGAAATCTAGTTTGGAATTAATTTGTTATGCACATGAAAGTTTAAAGAACAATTAAGTTCTATTGTATGGAGAGGCAGGAAGGACAAACCAAAACTTTGGCTATGGAGTTCTCTAAGAGCTGCCTCTTTTCTTGGCTTTCCTGGGAAAAGACAAACAAGGTTAAACAATATATCTTCCTTGTTCCATTAACAAAAGCAGGAACAGGGTATGAAGTATAGGATGTCATGATTCCAAATCCTCAAACCATAGTTCTCATCATTTAATCATCTGGCATGCTCATTATTTAAGTTAGTAGGTATTTACTGAATGCCTGCTATGGGCCAAGCCCTGTAGGGATTAATGAGAATCAATCAAGGTAGGAAACCAACAGAGAATTTAAAATTTACTTAGAGAGGCAAGACCAATATATATGATGTAATGAGAGGTAAATAAAATTAATTGTATAGATTGTTCTAGGAACAAAAAGCATTTATTTGAGGGGAAGTCAACAACAACTTTCTAAAGGAGTTGGGACTTACGTTGCCTAAAGGGTGGATAGTTTAAGATGTGCTCGTAGATGGGTGGTAGGAGAGTCATGTGAGTAAGTTTATTCAGCAGACATTTGTGAAGTGCCTTCTGGGTATTTCACATTATGCTGAGTCCTGGTACTGAGACGAATAGGTGTAGTTTACATTCTAGCAAGTAGAAACAGGAAAAATTACAGGCTGTATGAAGACAAGGGAAAAGTAGTAAGACTGGTCTGGTTTGAGACTAGTTCACTAATGCAGTCTTATGCTTGATTTAAAACTTGTAAAAAATTCTCCTCAACCTTCTCCACTTTTAAAATCAGATTCTTTAGAACATGTCATTAAAAAAGTAAAACAAAAATTGGAAATATGAAAAAATCTTACTTTCACAACATTTCAGAAACTCAAGGTAAATGAATTAGTAAATGTGTTAAATTTTAAAAGATCTTACATAATTTAAAGGAAATCTAAAAGTTGACTTACGCCATTAATTGTATTGGAGACCACATTTTCAATAACATATATTAATTTTTTTCCCCTCGCGTGCCAGACGAATAGAAAAATAGGTAATGATATTTCTAAACTGAAAAATACTGTCAATGCTGGTTCCAAGAACATTTAAAGATACACATACAAGATTAATCTCTGGTATAATTTCCAAGTAAATTCTTTAGTATCTTTTATAAGAAAAACTTTTATAATCACTTAGGAAAGCTGCAGAAGTCTATCAAGGACTCCTCAGTTACACTGTATTTATTTTTGCAAAAACAAACTTTGGCTGAACCATTTGTTTCCAGCATGTAAAACAGGAAGCAGCTGTTGCTCTTGCTGCTGTGTACTGAGTTCCTGTGAGGATGTAGAGTGATTCTGATTTTTACCTTTTATCAAATAGTTCGGCTGAGCAGTGTGATTAAAAAGTGTAAAGAATCAGCTATTTGTGATGCGTGAACTGTCACGCTTCATGAGAGCAGGTGCTATGTCTGGTCAGGTCCCCGTGATGTCCCATTGCCTATGCAGAGCCTGACACACAGTCGGTGCTCCAAAGCCCTGTTAAAAGTATGAATACTTGATATTAAAGTATTTATTCATAATAGCAAAAAAATCTCTTTTCAAAATGTGATAAGAAGATTTTTTCTATTTGTGTTATATCCACTGAAGCTTATATCTGGTGCCTGAAAAATAGGTAGTAATAGGAATATATTATAACAAGGTTTTTCAGTTAGGTCAATGCAGTTACCAGCTAATAAAAGTGGAAACAAAGATTTTGATTAGCTGTCAGGTGGTGTATATGCCAATATTTATCTAATTCTTTCCTTTGTCTTCTTTTCCAACAGGAAATTAGATCCCAGCAGGATGGTCTCAGGGCCAAGCTCATGTTTGTTCTCTAACTCGTGGCCTTTATACACAAGCACAAGCTTCCATTCTTCTCTATATTTCTATAAGAAAGTGATTAGATATGAGTGTGAGGAAAGACTGTCGCAAACTGTCAGATGAGCACTTTGGAGACTTGGGAAGAATGTTTCCCCAAATTTAAGTGACTGTTAACTGATGTTACATATAGGGTTTTGGATAAAGTACTTAAAAGAACTGTTTTTTATTTCCTATAGACATCAAAGTAAAGGAGCAGTCTCTGGAAAATCTAATCAAGTAAGTTCTCATTCTGAGAATGCTTACATCTATTTTAATTCCTTGAACAATTCAACAAATTCTTCTTAAATGACATGAGTTCTAAAGATTATTGAAAATCAGCTTTCATTAATAGTTTAAACTCTAACACTCTTATTTTTATGAAACGATAAGCAGTATGCTAGAGTGGAAATAGATTTCATAGATTTCAATACTGAGAACAGTGGCTGGCATCTAATAGACACTCAGTAAGTATTTGTGGGATGAACTAATGCATTGGGATTCAGATGTCATGAGTTTGGGACCCAAGTCTGCCTCCAGTTGTGTGCTCTTGGGCAAGTCACTTCCATCTCTGAGCCTTCTTTTCTTCATAGGTATAATGTAATATTAATCCTCTTTTGCTGAGAGAGGCAGTGTCCAGTATAGTACCCACTATCCACATGTGACCAGTGAGCACTTGTAACATGGCTAATGTGACTCAGGAACTGGATTTTTCATTTAATTTTAGTTATTTTAAAACTGATACTCAATTTAATTATGGAAAACTTTTAAGTATGTTTGGAACAACTTCAATATATAAGTATACTTTTACAACCATATATTTTATGAAATTTAAATGCAGATCAAATATTTCCAATGAAAATTTAATACCCAAATTAAGATATGCTATAAATACAAACCAGATTTCAAAGACTTAGTATAAAACAATCTCTTTAATAATTTTTATGTGAATAAATGCTAAATTACAACAGTTTAGATTAAATAAAATATTTAAATGTTTGCCTTTTGTGAAATTTTTTGTTAATGTGACTGCTAGAAAACTTAAGATTATGTTTGTAGCTTGCATTATATTTCTATTTTGTAGCCCTGACTTAAAGAGTTGTTTTGAAAGCCAGTAAAATAACTATATGAACCGTTTTGTAAGCTGCAAAGGGTATATTTTTATTATTATGATCATTGGGCAAATCCGATAGGCTTTTGAGTAATACAGAAGTAACCATCCAAGATTTTCAAGAATTCAGGATGATTTAGTTTACTTTTCTTAGAGGAGGAAGTAAAAAGAGGAATATGTAGATATGTGGTTTAAACACAGTAATAAAAAGAGTACTATAAAACCTGATTAAGTTGGAGTATAGACCAAGTTGCTACTTATTTTGAATTATTTTTGCATAGGGCATCACTTTGAATAAAGATAAGTTTGATTTAGACATCTGTGTTTAAATTTTTGCACTTTTAAACTTGCCATTATTTCAGTGAAATCAGAGGACAGATGGAGTAAAACAATGAAAAAGCTTATGAAACTTAAACAATCACCGTGTCCATGCTTTATAGTGTATACTTAAACTGGTTATCATGTAAAAACTTCAAGCAGAATGTAGGCTCTGGTACCTGAGTATATCTGGGAGAGTAATTGCATTAATAACGTGTTATGTAATTTCACGGATAAGAACAGTGGCATCTAGTTTTATACTTACAGAGGAAGGAAGATCTATGAACCTCCTCAGTATATGAGTGTAAACCAAGCAGCCCGGCAGCTTCTGGAGATTGTTCAAAATCAGAGAAAACGAGGAGAAGAACCAGGTACTTACAACCCTATAAGGGCTCTCATATTATTCCTCTATTGCCTCATTTAGATGTATATGTGAATTAATATATGACACAGACATAAATACACCACCACTGAAGCAAGATGTAGTGCTTTTGTATTGTACTACTTTCTGTCATTCTTTTCCAGCTTTAATTTAAATCCCACAGGCTTCAAGTTGTACTAAAAAAAAATAATGGAGTTCTATGTAGTGAAATTAACACCATTCCAGAAAGTGAGGATTTTTCACAAATTAAATATAAATCAAATTTGATGTAAATATGGTAGTATATATTTTGATACAATATAGAACTTTCATTTTAGCCCTAATCAGTGGTGAGATCTGTCCTGCAAAATATATTTATTCTACTTTTTATCATTCTCAACACTGAGACTAGGAATAGTTTACTTTAGCTTAAAGATAAGAGAATTTATTTTTATATTCTTAATATGTAGACTTATTTTGTAGAATATAATAAAATGTTTATTGTTAGTAAATCTTTATTAAGAAGTTCTTAAATGTCACATTCTAGGGGAGAAACAGGAAAAAAAAAGTTCTTAAATAAACCTGTCATTATATTCTGTCATAAGGTGCTGACTGCCTTTGGGCACCTGTACCCTAATAGAAAAGATACATAAGAGATTCTTGAGTGGCCATTGCTTATTTTATTCTCATTAGTAGGCCTTGTCATAGTTGTGAAACAAGTAGTCTGCAAGCGTGTTCTATATCTGTAACTTCGTACAGAGCTCTTTGCATTCCTGCTTGTTCTTGACTGAATCATTTGCCCCCATGGATCATTGTTCAATCAGGATTTTTCCCACTGAACAATAAAACCATTAAAAAGGTCTGTCCTTTAGCTGTAGTACCAGACTGAATAATACTAAAGTTCACTATGGTTGGCTATTTTGAACTTAAAAGTATAAGTAATGCCAAATGCCCATTATTTGATAAGGGCTCTATAGTTTACTAAATACTCTCATATCCTTTATCTTAGCCCTCACAACCACCATCTAGGATAGTATACATTTTAAAAAATGAGAAGACTTAAGTTTGTCTGATGTGTCAAGTAGAAACTCAAAGCTGTGTGTTTATGATATGAACATATCTCAAGCAAGTTATTAAAAATATAAGTATGTAATAAACATTGTTTACTCAGAATCTAAAGACAAATGCCATGCAGTTGTAACGAATATGGATATAGCTTAGTAAGTACTAAAAACTTAAACTCATGTAAGCCCTTGGAATTCTGAAAGGGTAAAATTGGGAAGTACTTTTTTATATGTCAAGTAGTACAAATGATTATAAAAAGCCTTAGGTGAATCAATGGATAATTGGTTCATGAGTAGCTAAAGATATTTAAGATATTTGGGGCTTCTTTAAATATACTCGTGGTACTAATGTAAGTCTGAGTATATGATTGACAGAATGATCCATTTGCTGAATTGAATGGCAGTATCTTTTTTTTGTTTTTGTTTTTTTTAAATAGCAATTACTGAGGAGACACTCTGTGTTGGCTTAGCCAGAGTTGGAGCCGAGGACCAGAAAATTGCAGCAGGCACTTTACAGCAAATGTGCACCGTGGACTTGGGAGAACCGTTGCATTCCTTGGTGATCACAGGAGGCAGCATGCATCCGCTGGAGATGGAGATGCTGAGTCTGTTTTCCATGCCAGAAAATAGCTGAGTCCCGAAGCACCGATGGATTCTGAACATAGACATTTTCTGTAATCTTATGTTCATTTCAGACCTGTATGGATGTAAACATATTTGTATAACAAATTAAACAGGTATTTTGGTTTATCTAGTAAGCATGAAACAAACGACAAAAAAAAAGGAAGCTAACTCAACAGTGCTTGGTCTGCTGTGGCAATGAGTTGTTCCCTGTGATATCATTAGTTGCTGCTATTTCGACAGTTTTTCAGGATACACACACAAGGAGCAGACCAAGCTGGAAAACTTGTGGATTGACATCCATTGACAAAATCATTTAAAAGCAGTTTCTACTTATGAAACCAGTTTATACAGGGTGGTTGTTACAGAGTATAACTTAGATTAACTGGAATGTGAATCACTTAAATCCCAGTTTTAAAGGATAAGAAATATGAAGAGTGTCAAGAAAAGCAAATAAAAGATAACAGTAACAGTCCACTTAATATTTTTATAATTTTCTTCTTTCTTAAAAAGTCAGCTGTCCTGACTGTAATACACATTGTCCTGATAGCAGCTGGTGTTATTGCATATAAACAGGTAGGAAGAATAAATCTCCACCCAGCAGTCCTACTTCCCTAAAGCTCAGCTGAGCACATGCCATAACATGACGCCCTTTTGAATTGGCTGTCTTGGTTAGCTGACATCCTAATTATGTGGCTCATATTCTGCTGTATTTTAGAGGTTATGTAATTGTTTAATTATAAATGTTTAGCCAGCCATGTATAGTTACTATTTGGTTTTAAATAGCATCTTTCACATCCAAGCAGTTAAATGGAAAACATTCTGACTATAAAATAAAATTAAAAATAATTTAAGTTTGAAGGCAATAATGGATTAGTCAAGATTTGTCATATCACTTAATTCAGTTAATATGTCATTATATATTGATAATCTATACACACACACAAAATAGTCAACTCTTCTTATAGTTTTAAATAACACTCCATTTATTATATTTCATGGCCATAGAGTTTTATACTTTTTGTCAGTTCAGAATAAAAATAGCTTTGTTACATAATAGTTCAGTTGGTCCAACTCTGAGTATTTCCACGGCTTAATTGATTTATCTGAGCTGTTTGCTTAGTAAATTTGTTGAAAGTTGAACAGAAATTTTCCTGCTTCCTGGGATCATCAGTTAGCTAAAGATTATTTTGACTGATTTTATTTCATTTTGGATAAAATATATTTTAATATGTATGAAACATTCCATTTTCAATCTGTTAGACACAAAAGGGGAGAGAGCCACTTATATTTAAATATAGTTCCATATTATTTTCTTCTGAGGTGTTAAACTAAACACTTAAGAGTTATTAAATGAAGGCCTTCTGATTTTGGTAATAGTGGAATGGCTTGCAATGTACAAACCCTCCCAGTTATAAACTCTAGACTAAATATAATAAAATATAATAAACAATTGTCTAATGATACGAGGGAGTCACTGAAAGCAGGCTGAGAACTCTGCTTGTGTGGCTTTTCTCCTCAGGTCATTCCCAGACTGTCTGGTGAGGGGTGGCTTAGAACTCAAGAGGAAGTTGCAGTCTTACTGGGCTTGAGCTGTCAGAGAATAGAATTGGGAGCTGCTGGAGGAGCTGAAAGTTGAAGTAGCAGAGCCGAGAAAGGAAGGTGCCAAAGATGGAGGAGCCTTCCAATCTGCTATAATCTCTCCTTAAATCCTCAGCTAATTCCTGAACTGTACATACCCAGGGAAGACTCCAAGGACACTGGTCCTTCCAGCCACAGCTGGAAGACTGAAGAAGCTGAACAGAGATTGCTGCTCTCTATTACAAGAGAAGACAGAATTTTGAGTTTGAATTCTGACAAGTTAGAAGGGCTAAGACTCTTGATAGTTGGTATCAACCTTGACAAGTTGATAAGAACCTTGAGCTTCCCATCAAAACCCCAGACTACCCATGTATTAGTAAAGACTATGCTGAGGACTAGGGATTTGTGCTAAAACTAAGGACAAGACCTTTAAAGACATAATGTAAGATCAAGCCTCCATAAAATCAAGGTGATCAGCCAAAAATTTAAATTAGAAGAAGGCTTAGCACTCTTCAGAGTATGATAACAAAATGAGTCTCCATAACATATTAATGACCCCAATACAACAAAATATTATGAAGTATCCGAAAAAACAAGAAAGTATAGCTTATGGTGTGTTAGCTAACGGCTAATGATGTTGAACATCTTTTCTTGTGCTTATTTACTATTCTTATATCCTATTTGATGAAGCATCTTTACATCTTTTGCCTACTTTTTAACTGGACTGTTTGCTTGTGGTTAAGTTTTGAGTGTTCTTCATATGTTCTGGGTACAAGTTGTTTGTCAGCTGTGTGATTTGCAAATGTTTTCTCCCAAGTCTGAAGCTTGTTCTTTCATTCCCTTAACCATGTCTTTGGTAGAGCAAAAGTTTTTAATTTTGATGAAATCCAATTGATCAGTTTTTTATATATTTCTGATACCATATCTAAGAATCCATCGCTAAAGTCAAGGACACATAGATTTTCTCCTATTTTTTTCTAGAAGTTTTATAGTTTTATATTTTACATTTATGTCTGTGATACATTTTGAGTTAATATTTGTATGAAGTATGAGTTTTAGGTCGAGGTTCATTTTTTGCATATAGATGTCCAGTTGCTCCTAACACCATTTGTTAAAGAGGCTGTTCTTTGTCCATTGAATTGTTTCTGCACCATTGTCAAAAATCATTTGGCCATATTTGTGTAGGTCTGTTTCCAGACTCTTGCTGTGTTGACCTATGTGCCTTTCCCTTCCCTTTGCCTTTTCATATAAATGTTAGAATAAACTTGGTGACATTTTGTGAGTTTGTGAGATTTTGATTGGGATTGTTTGAGATCGTGTCGATGTTTTGGGGTTTATTCTATTTTGGGTTTGCTCAAGCTTCTTGAATTTGTAGGTTTGTATCACCAAACTTGGGTGTTTTCAGCCATTATTGCTTCAAATATTTTATCAGTACTGTGTACTTTATCCTCTCTTTCTGAAACTCTGATAATATAAATGTTAGACATTTCTTATTGTCCCATAGCTTTCTGAGCTCTGTTCATTTTTTTTTTTTTTCAGTCTGTTTTCTGTGTTACTCAGAGTGGATACTTTTTACTCGTCTATCTTTCAGTTTCATTGACTCTTTGATTTGTCTTCTCCATTCTGCTGTTGAGTCCATTCTGTATGTTTTAAAAATTTCAGTTACTGTTCTAAAATTTCAGTTTGGCTCTTTTTATATATGCTGTTTTTTATTTTAACATTTGTTGCAAGATTATTTGTGATTGCTTGTTTGAGCATTTTTCTATAGCTGTTTGAGCATTTTATGTAGAATTTTTATGTTGCTTGTTTGAGCATTTTAAATAGCTGCTTTAAGGTCTTTGATAGATAAGTCCAACATGATGTTATCTAAGCTTTGGCATCTGTTGATTGTTCTTCTTCTGCAAGTTGAAATTTTTCATGGTACTTGTTAATTTGGGATTGTAGCTTGGACACCTTGAATATTATGTTATGAGATTCTGGGTCTTGTTTAAATTCTATGTAGAATCTCAATCTTTTTGTTTTAGCAGGTAACCAGCCAGCTAGATTCAGGATGCAATTACCAGTCTGCCTTCTGTGGCTGTGATTCCAATGTCGGTTTAGTTTTCAAAGACAGCAGTTCTTTTTGGATCTATCTCAAGTTTGTGCTACCCAGTCTGGGACTTAGGAAGTAGTCTGTTGGATCATTTAGTTCTCAAGGTTATCATGACTAAGTAGGATCAGATCCAAACATTAGTGATTTGAGGATGATCCTTGGGGTTCATAAATAACATTATGAGGGTGCTTTCCTGGGCTCTTCCCTCCATGATCTCCCCCCTACTTCCTGGTTCCTTGGGCTCCCTTTTTTGGTTGGTCCTCTGGCTGGTTCTGGTTACTCTGCTCTGTTGCTCTCTTTCATACCTTCATGACTGGGCCTGCATCTGACCCATGGCGGCTGGGAGAGGGAACAGAGAGAAAAATCAAAGGGGTTTTGCTCTATCCTTTTGAAACCATAGCTATACTGAACAGAAGAATTCCTTTCTCTCAAAGTTGTAGATCCTGTGGGTTTTTATAGCTGCTGGCTGCCACCACAGGATTGCCTGGGGGAAGTTTCTGGAAGCCAATGGGAATATTTCTCCAACTAATATAACTACAAATGTAGTAACTTTGCCTTCTTTGAAGTCTGTAGAAACCAGCATGACTTGTGTACAAATTATTGCTCACGGGGAAGTAGTATGATGCACATACAGGACGGATAACCCTTATAAAGTCGACATTACCCTCTAATGCGTTGCCTAGGATGGGAACACAGCGATGGCTCATCAGACAGACCTTATTTTATTTATACTTTTGGAAGTGATTATGACATTTTCAAAAGTCCAAGACAAATGGCAGTTGTAAATGCTGTCAAACTGTACCTGAACGTATATGTGAATCTGAATTGTTTACTTATAAAATGTCATGTTTTCAAAATACTATCTTGTGCCTACATTCAGGAAATACTTTTTGGAATGCTTTTGTTTTTGTATTGTTTTGTTTCTGATCCTTTAGTTTTAGCAGTGGCTCTCTCACAAGAAGAGTGCAATTCACTTTAATGATTCATAGAGAACCATTTTTCAAAGAGGAATTAAACTTTATATGAACGTAATTCATCCATTTTTTATAAATTTTAATTCCCCACATTGTGCCTGACTCTATGAATGTATTATCTTGCTGTTAACATTAGTACTCTTGGTTATGGGAATTTAGCAGATAAAAGTTGAATTATACATTTAAATGTTGGTAGCATGTGCTGTGCCTGAACTTTGTGGTAGGTTTTTTTTTAAGCCTGGAAGTGGAGCTAGATTATCTGACAGTGTTTGAATGAACTAGAATCCCATTAAAGTGCTTTTTTTCTTTTTCTTTCTTTTATTTTTTTACAGAATGAAAGACAGTAAATTGTTGTCATTCTATGAACATCAGTTGCACCTGTTCACTCCTCCCTGTCTTTGCTGTTTCTCTGGTCTAGACTAATGAAAAGTTTGCTTCT